GGCTCGGTGACCCGGTGCCCGGTGGGCGGTGCCGGTGCCGTCGGCCACACCCGCTGCGCTGCCTGTCACCAAAAGCAAAGCTCCTCTGGGGCACAATGGGTGGTGGCACCTGCCCCGCTGGAGGCCCTGGGAGTGAGCGCCACCAGCAGAGGAAGAAGTGGCATCGTCGGGCACTGTAGGACACCTGGTGGCCACGATGGCCCTGTGCTCAGGGTCACTGCTCTACACCCGTCTGGGGGACCGAGGCTCAGCTGGCCCAGCCCCTGGGGACACGGGAGCCACGTCCTGAGACAGGGAGGGAGGGCAGGGGCAGGCCCCGATTCAGAGCTCTGGTGGGTGACCTGGCCCGGGTGTCGCCGTCTCTCCTTTGCAGGTCCCCTTGAGGCCAGCCCTGCCCCACCCCACGACGGCGAGGAAGCCCTCTGCAGAGCCGGGCAGGGCGCCCCCCGGGAAAGCCGCTTCCTCCTGCCCCGCGAGGCCCTTCAGGGAGGCCGGGCAGAGGCTCTGGAGCAGCCTCAAGGCGCTGCCCGCGGGCCGCATCGCGCAGCCGCAGTTCCGCTCCGCGCTGGCGGCCCTGAGGTCGTCGCTCCAGGAGGCCAGGCCGGCTCGGGGGACCTCCGGCCCCAGGCCCCAGGCGGACAGCAGGAAGCACTCAGGCGAGGCGGCCTGGAAGGACAGTGTCTCCGGGGACCCGTGTGTGGCCACAGCCTCTGACCCCTCGCAGCCCCAGGCCCCAAGACCCAGGGACGCCTCCGCCAGGAAGGCCGCCAGGCCCGTGAGCTGGAGCGGGGCCACCCCGGCGGCTAGGGGCTGGCACCCATTGGTGGCGAGGGCCCTGTCTTCCCGGGAGGCCACGCCGGGGCCCGAGGATGTGGCCGAGCCTGCAGAGGACATGCTGCCTGAGGAGTACCTGCCGCCGCCGCCCTTCGCCCCCGGGTACTGCTAGGGGCGCTCTCCAGCTCCAGGACCATGGCCAGGGGCCGCGGCTCCCGGGGCCTCCCTTCGCCACCGTCCTCCGCTGCTGGTCCTCGGGAGCTTGGGGGACCCAGTCCTGCAACTGCCATCAGGACAGCAATCGCAGGAGCAGCCCGGCCAGGGCGCATGCCTGGAATCCCAGCAGCCCGGAGGCTGAGGCAGGAGGACGTGAATTCAAAACCAGCCTCGACAACCCAGCAAGGCCCTGGCTCAAAAATATGTAAAGGTCTGGGGGTGCAGCTCAGAGGTAGCATCCCCCCGGTTCAGTCCCAGTACCACCAACAGCAACAGTAATAATAATAGTCATGGGGTGGCTTGAGATGCCTACTGTGTGCCAGGCCCAGTGCCAGACCCTCCTCTGAGGGCCATACCTCCAGTTCAACCAACCACAGATGAAAAATATTAAAGACAAAATGTTACCTATCCTGACACGTATGGACTTCTTTTCTTGCCATTATTCCCTAAGAAACACAGTTTTAATAGCTATGTCCACAGCGTCTGCACCTTGTTATATATTAGAAATCATCTGGAGATGTTTAAAGTCCTGTGTCCATGCACAGGTTATATGCAAACACGGTGTCATTTGCTATAAGTGACTTGAGCATCTGTGGATTTGGGTATGCAGGGGAGGTCCTGGAACCAATCTCTGAGGATACGAGGAGACAACTGGACATGTTCCTGAGCAAGCCTATGCCGTAGGGCCACTCTCCACATTCTGAAGAAGAGACTGAGGTTCAGAGAGAAGAGGCAGCAGGGTGTGAGCATTGGGATTGAAAGCTGAGCCGTTTTGCACCATCTGAAACCACCCGGCAGGAACCTCCGCCATCACAGAGCTGGGATTTGCGGACTCAGTTCCAAGTATGTTCTCACACAAGTGGTGGTGGCTAGCACGGCTACTCACACCCTCCTCCCTCCTGAGCTTGGTGCACAGTAGGACTTCATCTGCAGCAGCATCATGATATGCAATGTGAGCCCTTCTTTTCAAAAAGGAATGAGCTGGTGAGCACAGTGGCTCACACCCATAATAATCCTAGTTATTTGGGAGGCTGAGGCAGGAGGATCACAAGTTC